GCTTCAAGATATATAGATTGGTTTGTGTGTTCTAATGTATTACCATTCCACACAATTTGGAGTTTTCGCTTGGCTTGCAGAGAATTCTGCAGGTAGTACGCTGTCATTGTTTTTAAGGCAGTTTCGAGTTTCTCCTGCACTTTTTCAAAACTATTTCCTAGTAGTGGTTTGACAAGAAACCATACTTTCATTCGGTATATTCAGGGCTCTATCCAACTCTATCCTATTCGCTCTATCCAGTGAATATTTGGAACCAACAAGGAATTACATAATATAGGGATACTTTTTACGATGAAGGTGCCCTTCATACCGACTTTATTACAACACAAGACAGGCAACGGCTAGGAAGTAAATGTAGAATAGAAGGATAGACAGAAGGAACAAAGCTAGATTTATACATTCAAGTTGTACATTCCATCCTAAATTTTTCTTTTAGTCCTTTTTAAATATCCCCAAAAGTTTGGTTAAGCCTAATACGAAGCCGAGAGATATAAAAAAGAAGATTGACACTAAGGAACAGGTATTTGTTCTTTTATCAGATTTTCCAATAGATACTTAATATCATCATCATTATATATGCACCCAAACATCCAATGATTGATATCGTCAGTGTTACCATTACAATCGCAAAGTTTTCTTTCACTTAAATTAAATTTATGAAGATAGGCTTTCGCAGTAGCATGATTAACAAGGCATCTAACAAACATTGAATATACTCTTCTATTGGGATGACTTCTTGCAGCAAAAGGCGCAGTAGGTAAAACAAGGTGAATTTTTGTATAAAGGTTGTTGCTTCTGTTACAAAGGGCATTCCATTCCATTTCCCAGTTTTCTTTTAATTCTTGTTTACACAGCGAGACTAAATCACTTCCATTGAGCCAACTAATTTTTAATTATTTTGAAGCCGCTTCTTTAGTAAAATAATCTGCTTTGGTGTTAACCGAGATACCAGCATATCCTTTTACCCAAATGAAAGAGACTGAATTATGTGTATATGAATACTGTTTTTGTATAAATGCTTATGCGAATTATCGAAAGCAGACAACGCAGATTTTGAATCCAAAAGGATTACTAATTGTTGATCAAACATTTTTTTCTCAATATCCTACAAAATATCATTTAACGCTTTTTATATAAACTCCTTCGCACCCTCTGTTTGCTGTCTTTCTTGATCGCTACCTTGACCAAGGATCAGCTCACTGCCGGGGACTGAGGGCCGTGTTTTTGTCGTGTCAAACATGCTTGGATTTTAGCCATACTCTACCGCCATGGCTAGTGCGAGTTGGTAGAGGGCAGGATGAAGGTAGGAGTTTTAAAAGGGGGGATAGGAAAAGGGTATGAGAACCTGGTTCCCTCAGGCAAGGAAGGAGGGAGAACCAGAAGCTAGCATAAGGCAGGGTCACTAATCCCTGTAGCAGCCTGTCTTCTACTGGGATTGTAGAAGAGTGCTACCTGCCACCTGAAAGTGAGTGACCCCCAACGAGATGGACAGATGACATAAAAAGAGTGACTGCAAATTGGATTCAGATGGCGCAAAATCGGACTAAGTGGAAAAGCATGCGAGAGGCCTATGTTCAGCAGTGGACGTTAGAGGCTAGTTGATGATATAAACTCCTTGACCCTATGCTTCTTAACGCTGTTTATATTTGATACTATGTTGCAGCATTCACTATACTATTCGTACGCTGATCATTGAGCTAACAGGCCGCCATCATTGTATATTGTACAAGAAGCAGATATTATCTTTTTTATCAAATGAAAATCTTTCTGCCTAAATTAAAGTTATTAAAATTCAAGTTTTACTTCCTTTCTTCTTCTTCACGTGCCATCTCCGCTACGAAGGTTGGCTATCATCATGGCAATTTTGACCCTGGAGGCTGCCGCTCGGAACAATTGTATGGAAGTGCAAGCAAACCACTCCCTGAGGTTTCTCAACCACGACATTCTTCTCCTACCTATGCTGCGCCTACCTTCAATCTTTCCTTGCATAATTAGTTGTAACAGTTGATATTTATTCCCACGTGTAATATGTCCCAGGTATTGTAGTTTCCTCATTTTAACACTCAATACGACCTCCTTTTGTTTGTTCATCCTGTCTAATACAACTTGGTTAGTTATCTTATCCTTCCAGGAGATTTTTAACATTCTTCGGTACGCCCACATCTTAAATGCCTCCAGCTTACCCATACATTGCTTATTTAGTGTCCACGCCTCCACCCCATACAACAGGACCGAGAAAACATAACATTTAAGCATTCGTATTTTCAGCTTTAGGCTTAGGTTACGGCTACACAACATTTGTTTTCATATTGTTAAAGGCACTGCGGTGCCTTTAACACCTAATAGAGAAAGCCCGCAATGCCTTTACTTCCTTATTTATATTCTATTGTATTTATATAATATTTTTTATATCTATTTTTATTAGTAGAGTAGATAAATATATATCGGACATTCGCAAAGCCATTACTGCTGCTACTATTGTCACTCCAAAAGAGATATATGAAAATAATTTAGTCACCTTTACTTTAGAAAAGCACCAGGCAAAGCAAAAGAGAGCAAAAGTACTTCTAAAATGACGATAGAATTACCAAGAAAAAGAATTGTATTAATAAGCTTTATATTCCACTCAACACTTAGGTGCTGGCCTAAAAATATTCAAACCACTAAAATAATAATTTTTCTTTACGTGGTCTTCCTACTGATCTTCTTCCTATTGGGAAACTGTTTCTTGTCGCCTATACTACTACTATTTTTTATGTCAGTCGACTTATATGATCATTCTATTCCACTATTCTATTTCCTATCCAGTCCTTGATGTTCTCCACCTTGCATCTACGTCGTATATCTGTACTTCTAGCTCTGTCCCATAGTGTTTTAATATCAATTTTTCTAAGTGTTTTCATCTCTGCTGTTTTTAACATCCTTTTTGTCCTCTCTGTGTCAGTGTCTGTGTTAGATCGTGTTTCTGCCGTGTATGCTATTATTGGTCTCATGACTGTTTTGTAAATGCTGTCTTTCTTTTTTTTCCCATTTTTTAATTTCTTTAATGTTTGTTTTATTCAGACAACTTGCGACTCTGCTCTATTTACTTGATTTTTCACTTTCGTTTCGGGCCTTTCGTAGCTAGATAATGCGATGCCTAGATATTTAAACTCCATCACTTGTTCTATTATCAGACATTGTAAATTTGCTGTTATAACCATGCATTTTGTCTTTTTTTGGGGAAATTAGAATGTTAAATTTTCTGGAGGTTATATTAAATTGGTGCAGCATATGCTGTAAATCATCTTTACTCTGAGAGAGTAGTATTACGTCGTCTGAATAGCAGATTATTTTATGTTGGTTTTCTCGCATTTGGTATCCTTTTGTAGTTCTTACTTTATTATTATTTCATTCATAATTAGGTTGAACAATAGAAGGAATCTCCCTGTCTTTATCCAAATAAGATCAATTAATAAATACCCATAATCCTTTTGTTCACTTTAACCAAACTATTTGAACAGTTACTACAACGAATTACTTTTGATACACACCTAAGACTGATTCCTCAGTATAAATTTGATTTTCGACATGCAACTCAACAACGAACGCATAGGAAAAGTGGTGAAATAAACCTTAAAAAATGTCAACTGCATCTTTAACCCTATTTCAAGAATCACGGTGAACGGCTCTTATCATTTTTACAAATAAAAATGCCGTTAAAATGAAAAGACAGCAAATATTTGATTTCAAGCAAACAGCGCCTTTGTATCTGTTGATACGTATTTCGACCTAATAGGTCTCATCAGAACAGTTATTCGAAGGTGTTCTTAACGTGAAAGATCAATATTTTCTGTCTTTTAAGAAGCAACACTAAAATAGCTTCGATACGGACGCAATAGCGACATCTGATAATAAAACCGTAAAATAGTTTCGAAACACAATTCAGATTTCTGCTTTAATTTGTGCTTTCTAAAAATTGCAAAGCAAAACAGACATTGATGAAGGTGTTAAAAGAGACGTGGGGAATCTAAAATTTGCATTCCACGACACGTCTTTTCAACTAAGCAGAAATCCTTAGCGAATTGGTTTCTTGTACTCGTACAAAGTAGATCCGAATAAAATGAAAATATTTGCTGTCTTTTTCATTTTATTCGGATCTATCTGCTCTGTACGAGTACAAGAAACCAATTCGCTAAGGATTTCTGCTTAGCTGAAAACACGTGACGTGGAATGCAAATTTTAGATTCCCACGTCTCTTTTAACACCTTTATCAACGTCTGTTTTGCTTTGCAATTTTTAGAAAGCACAGCTTAAAGCAGAAATCTGAATTGTGTTTCGAAACTATTTTATGGTTTTAAAAATGCCGTTATTGGTGTTGAGAATCAAACGCGCTCTGGCTTAGAATACCAGTATCTTGCCACTAAGCTACGGCCATTCACGGTGGATGTAGTATTTGTGGATGGGGTTATATTTTGATTTAGTCCAGTTCTCCAGTTGCTCCAGATTAGGTGACATATTTTGTGAAAAATATCAGTGCCTGCGTCTCCGATTGCCGCAGTCATTTCCATGACTATATTGTCTACTACAAGTGATTTGTGAGGTTTCAGCTTTTTTTAGTGCAGCAACCACTTCTTAATACCAATGAGATATATACATTCAGTTACCAGAGGGCCATCTTCCTATCATATCGCTAAGCATATTAAAGAAAAGTTACAAGTAATTAGTTTTTGTTTAAATGTCTCCTGTTTCGTTTTTATGTACATGCTGTTCGACTGCGTTGTAAAGATAGTTTAGATAATTATTTTGCTCGTCCCTACACTGCTGCTGTATTTCTTTACTGAGCTCTGAATGTTCTAAGCGTGCTGTAGATGTTTAGAAACTTTGGAATTTAAGATGTCTTGGGATTTTACTTTTTTTGTGTTTTTATTTTTCATTTTAATCTTAAGACAACTATAGTATGTTTAAATTGAAAATTTTTGGTTTAACCAAATGGTTTTAACACATTTGTTTTCTTTCAGTGCTCAGCCATTGCAACCAATTATTACCACAGATGACGAACAGACAAGCGTCATAACTTCTACCTCACAACAAGCAAGGTTTCGAGTAGATACAGAAGAGGACGATGGTAGTAACAACCCACCTGCCAATGCTTAGAATCAATTTTAATAATTTAGGGTTTAAATTTTAGATGGATACTATTTTTCTAAATATTAAGTAATTACCCGATTTTCGATGTGTGCCATTTCGAGAAAACCAATTCTTCTCTAATATTAGAATATAAAATTTTAGCTAATTTTTATTGGAAAGCGGACGTTTTATGTTATAATACTCTGTTAAAAATAACAGAAAAGTGTAGGTGTTAAAATTGTGAAAATTATAGCACTAGTGCGAATTTTAATGATTGTGTAAGAATTTTATGAACGATTTTTTTTGGTATATTAATTTAATTTATTCATAATTGCTGTTTATATAAGATGCACATCACATTAGAGATCTTATGCTTCTACTTTATCTGCTAAATTGATAGCTTCTTTAGAGTGAAACTTGTTTGTAATTAATTGAACAATTGTCCTCCATTGGTGTAATTTTTACAATAAACTTTGCTGTAACCCAGTTACAGCCTTTTTCCCCTTAACTCAGATTTTCTCTAACCAAGCCACATTCCGGAATGTTGATGAAGTACTCAATGCACCTGGTCGCGGCTTGTCATTCGTCTTTTCTCTTCCACTCTTAAATTTTCGACACGATTCGAACGAATGACCGCACGCTGGGTTAATACAATTAATTCTAAAACTAAGATTACTATTATTACAAAAATTAATAATAAATTCACCAGCACTCCGGGTAGAACAGTGTCGATTATCATTGTGTCGAGCTTTCTACATTCTCTCTAATGTCTTCTTCGAGGCTTCCGGGGTCTCAGTTTTCTGAGCTTAGTCTTCTTCTTCTTCCTTTTTGTATGTAGGCTTTCAAGCCTGTTTCTTCTTCATTATTAGCCTTCTAAATTGTTTAATTCTACTACTACATTCTACTGATGTGTTCGTTCCACTCCTGTTTTCGTTTTGTCACCAATTCATTTATGTCTTCTATATTGCATGCCCTTCTTATGTTTTTGCTTCTCTCCCTATCCAACAGACCATTCCCTGATATTCGTCGGAGTATTTTTATCTCTGCTGTTTCTAGTAGTCGTCTCTTTTTAGATGTGACGATTTTTGTGACTTGTGACTTGTCTTAGGTGTTTGTTCTTCCAGATTGTGTCATTAAGAGATCACGTCGCTTTACTTGCTTTTAAGCTTTGTTTTCGTACTTTTTCTTCAACATCTCCGTAACTAGTTATATCTATTCCCAGATATCTAACCCTTGCTTCCTGCTTTATTATTTTCCCATCTATTTCTATTTTACACCATAGTGGGTATTTAGATGTTGTCTTACATTTTAGAAGCTCGTTGGTTTTTCCTTCTGATCCTGATGACTTGCTGTTTTTGAGTGAATTTACATCTCTTTCTACTTCCTGAAAACTGATTTCAATTTTGTACCTTAATTCAGGTATGTTATTGTGTTAATTATTATTTTCCTTTGCTTTAAACAGTTCCGTAAGGTATCTTTCCCATTCGCTTGCTGGTATGTTATTGTATTCCTTCAATTCTGCCATTTCTTTCCGTTGGTTTTTTATGAATATTTGTTTTTTTGTACCGTAGAAGTCGCTTTCCATCCGTTTTGTAAACTGTTCCCAGTGTTAATTTTTTGTTCTTCTTACCAACTGCTTTGTTTCATTTCGTATTCTTCTATAGTTGTATCGAGATTCTGGGGTATTTGATGTTTTGTACTTCGTGTAGGCCTCTCGGTTCTCTTTACATTCCTCTTCTATTTATTTTCTGAACCATAGTGTATTGTTGTTGTTTATTTTGTTTATTATGACTTTGTGTTTTCCTAGAGCTTCTGTTGCTGCTTCTTCAATGTTGTTTTTAATTTTCTCTCAGCTCGAGTTTATATCTTTGATGTAGTCTATTTGTTTCAGCTGTATCTTCTGTAATAGCCTTCTTTGGTACATTTCTTTTGTAAAGTCGTAGAAAATTTTGTTTTGGTGCTGTTTTCATTCTTATCTTTACTACCTAGTACTAGTTTGTGTTTACTCCTTGCGTCTGCTGAGCTTAGTCAAGAATAATTCTTCTCTATTTATTATTAATGCAAACATAGGAAATTTTTGCTTTATATGATGAATAAATCCTGTTCTTTTATTACTGCTTTCCCTTAAAAATTCCTTCAAAACAAAACTGAACAGAATGTATTTCTTTCGTTGGCTATAAATTGTTATATTTCATTATTTATTTTTACCTTATTTTTTGTACTTTATTAAGTTAACTCTTTTTTCTCTCACACACTCCATCCAAAATTGGGATATACGGGACTCTCTTCGTAAATTACTGCTAAAGAATACATTTAGTTTTTGAATTATGGTTAGTTATTGGTCAAATCGTGTATTTTAAATAACCACCATATCTCAAAAGATTTATTTAAATAAATTTACCAAGAAGATCGTGAAATTTAAAGGATCGTAATAATTAAATATTTAAAATAATAAAGTAAGAACGAGTTCTAGTGTCTTCTTATACAAACATAGGTTTGTTTCTCCAGCTTTTGGTCCTCATGTGAACCAAACCCAAATTTTTATTGGTTATTTCAAAGGTAATAATTACCCTAATATTAATAACAGTTTTCTCAATTAGTAGAAACTATTATTGCTTAATATTATTGATTGTTCAGAAATATAAATATAGTCTTAAATTATTAAGATTTGAAGCAAAGTTTCTTTACTGGCGTTTTATTACTTTTTCTCTATAGTAAAATGCTGAGGTGAGCAGTCACATTGCAGTCACAGTAAACAGTTGGAAGAGTCCGTTTACACGGCAAGTGAAGTCCGTTTAATTCAACCTCTTTTCTTTTTTGGGTTTGCTTAATGTTACTGCATTATGGTTTTTGCATGTTATAATTTTTACATTCCATTATAATGCTGACATCTAGTACCTATATATTGCTGTAGAAACAAATCTTATGATTTTAAGTACTTTGTTATTCAATTTTCAAATGAAATTTAAATTGGTTTGAGAGTTACCATAGATAAATCTGTAAATATTTAAAACGTTTAAAATAATTGTAGTACTTATATATTACATATTTTATAACCTTTTTATATTGAAATTATTTTTAAAACGAAAAAGAAAATATTCCATTTTAGGTTTTTGGTAAATATTAGCTGTAAGTTGTAAAGTTGGGAAATTATTGTTTTAAAGTGTGAATAATGGCTTGTTTTGTTTTGGTATATTTTATTTTTCAAGTAGTTTTTATTATTTTTTCCTTGAAAAGGTTCGTATAAAATGATTTTCAGTTTCTAAGATCTCATTTGGAATGTATTTTGGTTACTTCAATTTCTTCTGATGCTGCCAATCCATTACGAAAATTGGTGATCGACAATTCTCACCTTGTGTACGTTTCTACAAAACAATTAGTGCTGATTAGCTGGAAGCATTTTCTTCAATTATTCAGACAAGAAATACACCTAATACCTTGGACTTTAATTTCCATCTAATTTTCCCTAACGATTTAGTTGTAATAGACTCTGTTTGCTCCTTATAGCATGACTCATCGTTTGATTTTTTTAAGAAACGTTTTTTCGTTTCTTTACTCACTGTAAGGCGAAGCGCCTGAGCTCACGAGGCGTTTGTCACGGTATTCTTGAACCAAGCACACAGAGTGACGTTTTGTTGCGTTGTCTTAAAGGCTTACCTTTTACTAACGACTCCACTAACGTCTGGCGTTCGTGTGCTTCGTTTAAGCGTCAACTTATCTCCACCATTGTGCGATTTAAATCTTTTTCTGCAAGAGGTGTCAGAAAAACTACGACAGGCTTGTGGTGGTCAATCGTTCATAGTGATGTCGCCTTTTGATCCTTTAATGTCGGCTGTTCATATCATAGCGAAGCAGAATTCGCAGATATAAGTTTTAAATCGTTCACATAGACAGGGAATATAAACATAAAACGTGAGCTGAGATTAGACCGTTGTCTAGACAAGTTAGTTTTATCCGACTGAATACTTGTCTTTGCCATAATATTGCTGCTTAGTACGAAAACAACAGCAGGATAAGACATTTAGTTATCGCACTTACTCGAGCGGGTAATGGTGCGAAACTACCATTTGTGGTTTTCTCTTGGAATTCCGAGAGTCGAAGGGCTTAAAACAGTATGAATTTACAAGGCAATCGTAGTTGGCTACGATTGTCAGACGAGCCCTTATTTTCGTTGGGATTATCGATTTACGCTAGGTTGGATTGATCTTTGGCAGCAAATCAGATCTTGCCCCACACAGCCCCAAGCTTGTGGATCCGTTGTGTGCGTTACATGAGATCTCTGGTATGTAGCTGTATCTTTTTATGTTTAGAGATAGTTTTTGAGCATGAGTTTAGTGCGCCTATCATTTTTTTCCTTTTATGAATCGTTCTTTGATTTCTGTTGCTGTGTGTCCATTTTTCCCCTTAAACATGATACAATTACATTTCCATCTTCTAAGTTTAGTTCATCGTTTTTCACTCCTTATGTGCAAATGAATTTCGTTTTTGTTGAGTTTACATTTAGTTCCCATCGTTCGATGGAAATGAAACGTATATGGAGTTGTTTCGTCCTCTTCAGTGCCTTACTGAGGTAGAGTGAGGCATAGAGTAGGTGGAGATAAACTACAACCTTGCCTTTATTGACACTAAAATTCTCAGGTAACTCGTTGTTAATCTTTATTTTTGACCAAATATCGTTATAAAAGTTTTATGAATTAAATTTAAGTGATTAAATTCCTTAGAGCCTTTTATTTTATACCATATTTTCTATAACTTTTATTTGTTCGTTTTTCCCACTTTTTCTTAAAACCATATTTTTCAGAGTCAATTTTAATTCCTTGATTATTTAAATATTATTTGACCATTTCTGAAGTCTATCGTGGAAATACTTATGGAGTCTCCAGAATATCCTAGACAACATATTCTTTACAGGGATTTAATTTATTGGCTTTTCTCTATGCTATGCAGGATCCAGACTTCTTTTGTTATATTCTAACTTGTTATATTACTAATTTGTTATATTCTAAATACAGTAAAACCTCCGTTAA